GTGGCTTCTTTCATCAAGCGATGTACACGCATTGGTCACGATATATTATTACAGTGCCTCATGCTGATGTCTGTATGTGATGGATGAATATCTGTAAACAGCCAGTGAGAAATGTCTTGAGTGTTGGCAGACCAGAAAAGGAAGTCACCTTTGCCTCCTGAAACATGCATAACCTCATGTAATTATTTCTTATGTCAGTCTCTGTGGACAGCAATGAGGTATCATCTTGCCTAGCCAACCCAGTGGAACGAGAGACAAAGAATATCACCCTGCCCAAAGACCACTGCCCCTGTGAAAAAGGGAGAAATAAATCTTTGTTGTCAGAAGACACCACTTGAAAGACTGGTATTCCTTGGTACAATTCAGCAGTGCCAGCATATACCACAGGGGACAGTTTCTGCCTGAAAGCTGTTCACTAAGTCTGCAGGATGTGGGAAACCAAAAATGTGTGGAGTTGGGGTTTTTTTGCCAGAAACCACAGCTGTAAAGAAACCTCTATTCTGTACTAGATACAAAGGTCCTTATCCCTAAGCGTATTTCCCATGGAATCATAGCCCAGTACTGGAAAAGGCCCAACTGCTTGGTTGGATGCGTTCAGACCATCTCTGCCATCTTCCCAGTGCAACCTAGCCCTAGATAAGGAGGTTCTGAAAGCAGCCGAGTAACTGCGGTCTGTAATCTTTGAAATGAGTCTTTCCTGGAAACACGCCGTGACATCCAAAGTACTGTACCACATGCGTTCTGAAATTATGGGCATACGTGGCATCTCAGATGCTTTACTGTCATTTAGAGAAGTAAGCGAATGGCAACCACTCATCAGCAATTTTCATTAGCTGTATTTCCTGTTAATGTGGTTCAATTAATTCCTAAGACACTCTATTTCCCGATGAGTAAAACTGTCTCCTCTACGTTGACTTGTTGCATGATAAAGGGTCTTGCATTTGTACAGAGCATCTGAAGCCTTTCTTCAAGAGAGAACAAAAGCCACTGAGCTTAGTTGCTTCCATCCATCATCTGAGCTGCATCAAAAATGAACCAGAGCTTAAATGACTTCCCTGTATACAAAACAAAACATTTGGAAAGCAGAGACCTGAAAATCCAGGTGGTCCTTTACTAAACATCATAGTATGCATGTTGATTATTAATTTTACACAGCTTTTTGCCCAATATATTCTAGTGATTTTGAATGTTAAAAAAATTAATAGACGTTATTTTTAAAGAATCAGAAGGCATCTTTTCCTCCTCGCACTTCATCTAAATTGCTGCTGTTACTCTAAACCACAATTAATGTAGGTTACAGGCAGCCCGTACAACCATCTGTTCTTTTGCACTACCACAGATCTGTATAGTTTTGCAAGTGTGTAGATAACGCACTGTTGGCTCCATGTGTATCAAAAACTCTGTTTTCTTGATCGATTCCATTGCTTTTCAATCACCTGTTGAGAGAAGACAACCCAATACTGTAGCACTGATGTTTTGCATGCCACTAGAAACACTTCCAGTGGGTGAGAAGCCTTCTCTGCACAATGGAGCTGGCCCTAGAGCTGCATCCTCCTCACCCTGTGCTGCAGAACCTGCCCTGCATTGGACCCTGGCCCGTATTGAAGACATCTGCCTCATAAGACATTGCGATGGATCCTCTTCTGTCATGGGATGGCTGTAGGGATTTCATTCATAAAGCAGTCTGAGCCTGGAGACCTCCTGTGTTTCTGCTCTGATGAGGATGCTCTAGCCATAGGTAAGGAAAGCTTCAGAGCAGCATAGAAGGAGAAGGATCTGTGAACTCAGAGACTGGAAATTTGGTAGCTACAACAGGGAGACAGGAAACATGACAGGACAGAGCAGAACAGAGCAGAGCGACGGCGTTGCCAGAGAAGTGGACAGGTATGTTTGTCTCTTGTACCTTTTATTACTTTTGGACACGGTCCATCACGTTCACTGTGTGTATTGGTGTCTGTTAGTTATGGAAAGGGGAAACACAAAGCAGCGCATCCCAGTTCACGCAGTGGTAACGAGGACCTTGCTACTGGTTTTTGTAAGCGCTTTTGTACTGCTTTTGAGTTAGCTAGACACCCGTCCAACCCAAAGAACAGGGAACAAAGGCTCATTTAGCCTGCCAAGACTATTCTTTGCTGAAATAGCAGTGCACGTTTCTGTACTTACTGAAGCAGTGCTCCTTGCAGAGCTCTGCAACACTACAGCCTGAAAAACAAGGTGTTTACGTTCAGGTCTGGGCCTCTTGCATGCTGCAAGAGAATGTGCCATGGAGAAGCAGGGCCTGCCCAGATGGTCGTTTGATCATCAGTGTGGGATCTGCCTTATGGCAGCGCAGAACAGTTTGGGGGTTTTTTCACTCTTTCTAACCATTGATCTTTGTTAGAGACAGAATTGTGCTGGGATTGTTTTCATCAGCTTTTGTTTGTTCCTTCGAGCAACAAAAGGGAACTGTTGGGAGCTGTATTCAATGTTGGCAGTGAAGATCCCACTTTTTGTTTCCCATTGTCTTCCTCAATTTGCCAGCTAGTAACAGAGCACAGAGAGAATTGCCTTCTGCCTTCTCACACAAGCTCCTCAAATGTTTTTGTAAGCCTGCACCCAAGAGCGTATTCAAGCTGTTATTAACCCCATGTACATAGTACAGTTTGTTGCTGAATTAGAACCAAAACAGCCCTAGAAAAGCTATTTTAATTGCAACAAAATTAATTCAGATGCTGTCTCACAAATCTAATTCTCAAATGTTGCTAGGGAAACACAAGGGTGGACACAGAAGCAGTAACTGCAATGTGTCTGTTTGATGTCAAGGATTACTGTACCTAGAGGTTACTTGTGTCCTTACTGGTTGGACACCCCCAAGACTCTTCTCCCTTGATTTTCCGTTGCCATTTTGCCTCCTTTTTAAGGACACAAATGGCTTTGTCCTTCTGCCACCCTTCCTGCCACCAAGGAGCAGCAGTGAACAAGGGGAGGAAGACAGAGCCACCTCAAGGGGTTGCCAGGGTTAATCCATGGGTGGTTCTGATGTTCTCCAAGTGCCACTTAGGACCATGAGCTGTACCAGTGTCCTAGTTCAGCTCCTTGCAGCTCCCCCTCCTTGGGTGTTTGGGGGTTTTTCTCCCCCTTTTCTAGCAAGGAAGCCCCTCACTTGGATGGGCAGCAGAGCCAGCCCAGGGCTCAGGAGGAACAATGACCAAAGAACAGACTGCAGCTGTAAATCAAAAACTCCCCAGGGACTGCTGCTAAAAGAGATTAGAGAGCATTCCTATGCCAATTGACATCTGAATTTCCCCCTACCCCCACTGCAGCCATGAAATTTCTGGCCTATCAGCACGGTAATGTAGTCATAACGCATTTATTTGCTCCCTCCTCAGAAGCGTGGGCACAGAGAGCTGCACAGGGCACAGGAACACCACAGTGCTGCAGGGCTGATCAGAGCTGCACCTTTCATCATCATCATCACACCGCCACAGGTCAAGGAGCCCCAGAGAGATGAAAGGGATGAAGTTAAGCACTGGGGAGAGCCTTTATCACAGCATGTGTGCCCCAGCCAAAATGTCACACAGGTTGGCAGGCTCCTTCCGCTGACCCACCCTTGCTAACCTCTAGGCAGCTGGTGATGGTGCAGCAAGGGTTGTTTATCGTTTATTAAGATGTCTGAGATTACAAGTTATGGCGGCTTCACGTGAGGTATATGGAAGCAGCCACTGTTGTGAAGGGCTTGATGGAAGAGCTGAATTCTGAGCAGGCCATGGTGAGCCCTGTCCACGCAAGATTAACACGATTAAGGTCTCATTTTACACTCAGTTGCTGGGGACCAGGGGACAGGAAGGAACCTCTGTGGTCTCTAGAACATGACTTCTAAGTAGTTGTGGTTTGGAGAGTCAGAGGCAGCCTCCAAGTCTCACATGGCATGCAAGCACCAGAGATTTTTACCTGTGGGAGTATCTATGGCTGAAAAAGCCCTTACTTTTATGGGTACATTGACTTCTTGTCTGGGCAACATCCGTGAGCTTTTTATGAGCATCTGCACTGTTCATGGTAAATTGGGAGCCCTTACTTTTATGGGTACATTGACTTCTTGTCTGGGCGACATCTGTGAGTGTTTTATGAGCATCTGCACTGTTCATGGTAAATTGGGAGAAGGGGTGTGTTATTTACCTGTGTGTACAAGTCTGTACTGGCAGACCACGTGTATTCACATGGACATAGGACATCTGTCAGCTGTGGCAATTGCACTGCCCTGGCTGTTCAAACAGGATCGATGGAGGTGTTTTACATTTGAGGGGAGCTTTGTATCAATCGATCAAAAGCAGATGCCAGAGGTGATGCTCATGTCTCAGGGACTAAGGTGGGACAGGGCACATCTACACCAGGCATGGTTTGAGGGTACCAAGGAACTCCCATTCTGGGGCTCTCTGGCTGACCTAAATTCTGTCTGCTCCTTTGAAGAGACATTTTGGAAAGACAAAAGATTTTAGGCTGACTGAATATGCCACTGCAGTAGCAGTTTAAAAACAGCAAACCATCCAACCCTCCAACAAACAACTTGCTTGTGAAAAAAAAAGCATCTCCCCCCCAAATATTTATTTTTTTACAATGTTTTTGAGATTAATATTTTTTAAGTCTTGGCAGGTGAAGCCTGAGCCACGTTCAGGTCATCGTGCAGAACAGGTGCAGAGCACCCCGGAGCACCTCACAAACCACAACAGACAAGAGGTCCTCAGGGTGTATCACAAATGAATGGGCCCAGTATTCAGGTACCCACAGACACTGCTCCTGCCCTGACCCAGAAACCATCTCTCAGAAAGTCCTGGAAGGGAAAAGAGCTGAATGGAGACATCAGTCCCTCTGAAAACGGACGCAGCACCCTCTTTCCTTGTATTGCCCACCCTCAGCAGGCTGGCAGGGAGCCTTGCAGTTCGCATGTAGAAACCAATGGCCAGGATCTGCCCGCTGAATGTACAGGTTTGGCAGAGAGTTTCAGCTGCAGGGCTCCTGGATCACAGCTCTGAGGAACAAAAGTCTGAGTGTATCTCTGAGCATTTCTTCTCTCAGCAGCTTCCCTTCTTGGTGCATTTTTTTCTCTAAACTTTCAGGGTTTCCTCCTACAGGGGGTACCTTTAATTCTTCACGTCAGTGGGGAGGGCTGAGGTCCTAAGATAGCTAAAGCTAGAATAGAAATCATCTCCCCATTTCCACTCTCCCTTTCACCTGCTCCTTCTCATTCCCTTGCTTTCCCAGAGCAACCACTCAGCATCCAGACACACAGCAGTTCCTCCACCCTGTCCTTCTCTTCCGCACCAACTGTCCAGCCATTTTGGAGAGCGTGGCCTTCGTGTCACCAAAGTAACTCCCAGAAGGAACATGATGACACTGCCAACAAGACCAAGAAATGTTCCAGAAGAGATCCCCAAGGACTGCCAAACCCTAAGCCGCAGGGTCTGGCACTCGGCCCTCAGCATGCGTAGTCTCTGACCCCCAGTTCCTTTCGTGTTATCCTGGGAGCAGGAGAGTGGGTGCTGACAGTTTCTCTCTTGGCTTTGGGTGGGCCAGGGTGCCTTTCAGCTGCACTTGCAGGATTTCACCACCATGTTGGAGAGCTGCTCCACTTTGGGGGTCCTCCCAACATAGTACAAGATAGTGAGTGGCTCCAGGTCCTGGGGGACACAGCAGGGCGAAGCGGATGCCTCGGGGTTCAGCGTGTTGTATAGGCCCAGCACCTGCGGAAACAAAGTAAATGTGGTGACAAATCAGGAATACATTTAAGGTGATTGAGGACAGGGAGTGACTGCAAAGCCAACAGGTCTCTGTGTGCTTGGACTGTGCTCATCAGAGGGTATTTCCCTGCTTCTAAAGGGTCTCACCTGCCCCAGCCTGACTCGTAAGACTCTTAAAATTGTAGTAGCCCTCCTCTGTGGCTGATGCCTGAGGGTTAAAGGATTGCAAGTTGTTGTCTCCTTTCATCTCTAATTTGGTATGGTGGATCCTGTCACAGTTTTTGCCTTTAATGAGGCTGGGTGTAACCAGCCTGGGGCCATGTTGTCCTGAGCTCCATTAAAGAAGCCAGAAGAAAGAGTCTCAGTGCTGCTTATTTCAACCAACATCTCTGGATAGCGCTGGATGGATGCCAATCCTCTTGAGTATCCACAATTCCCTCCCAGCTTTGAACTGTCTGGTGCTCTCTCCCTCCACTCCATCCTCCAAGTCATGACACCACAGTGCTGGGAGCCAGGAGAGCGTCCTGTGGGACCCCCCTGGACTCCTCCTCCCAGCTGCCCCCAGCCCACAGGTGACTGTACGCTCCAGCTACGTGACTGCTGCACAACAGTTGCCGTGTCTCTTGCCAGAGGTGGCCACTTCTCAGCAGTAAGCAGCTTCTGGAGTTGTAGGGCCAAAGCATGATCTCACCTGCACTAGCGTGGTCTCATTAGTGCTTACAAATGACACGGTCTGGCACATTGTCTTTTAACTGCTTTACAGTCTTTGGGGATGAGAGGTGCTAAGGAAACATCCTGTTCTGTCATCCAGATCCAGGTAACCACAGTCGTTCTGGTAGAAGCTCCCTGGGATCCTGAGCAAAGAGCCCCTGGCTGTACCACTGAGGTACCACGTGCTCTGGGGCCTCCAGGTTAAACGGACTAGTGAGAACTCTCTTCACCATGTTTTTCCTAGGTGGTGCTGGCAAGCTGTCAGCAGCTACATTGTTCTAAAGGTTTCTTGGATCACTCAGCTGACCTTAATGCCTGATTGTTTCCTTTCTTGCTCAAGAAAAGAACATTAGGAACCACACTGAAATCTCCTTTCTCTCACACTGATTCAGTCCAGTTATCTACTAGAGAGCTTCTCAGGACAACCAGATGGTAAAGCTACATGCCCATTACCCTTTCAAAGCTGTTCATTCCCTTGCCCTGTCTTGTGCTTAATGCCCAGCATCTGTTCACTCCTTCACTCCCATAGATCACCTGTTTCCACTGATACTAGTCCTTGAGCTGCAGTGAGCCTTGCTGCTGTGGAGACTCTCAAGCTGTCAGGAAAATGTTAGCATCTTTTCTGCAATACAATTTTTACCTAGTTATCTGTTCTTTGGCTGAATCTGCTTTTTGCAGTAACTTTCTTAGTGAAACCTGAAGCTAAGTTGCTAGTGAGCTGTTGCACTGTCTGGATTGCTGCCTTTTCTCTTCTGTGGATAGAAGCACAGGATTTTCTTCTGACTTTTCTTGCTTCAGCGATGGACTGTCTGCTCCTCTGTCTTCTCCCCTTTACTTCTCCTATGCCTGTGCTTTTCTACTGCTTTTGTTTTCTTCCACTCTGGTGTACTCATGTTAAACAGAGGTTACATGTAAGTTACCTGCAGATATTTTCCTTCTGCCAGTTTTTACTCATGAATCTCTCTGCCTAATAGGCTCCTCTTTGCCATAGACCAGGTGGGATTTATACAGCTGGAAAAGATGCCCGTGCAGAAAGGAGAGCTTACTGCAGGATCACTTCTGGACATGGACAAGGATTTCCCTTCACTTTTAGGCTACCGCTGCCCCTGTGGTAGCAGACAGCAGCTGCGTCCCATGGCACAAGTTCTGCATGACAACCTGAGCACACAGAAATCCTCTGTCCAGTGCAAACTGCAGGAGAAATTTAGGCAGAAGATAGTTACCAGAGTTGCTATGTGATGTGAACAATTCAGTTAATACTCTGGCCAATACCAAATAAGTACTCTAAAACCATCAGTCCTGCTGTGTCACAACTCATCCAAGAGAGAGGGGCATCGTCCTCCTCAACTTATGACTGGATGCACGGACTCAGTATTGACCCCAAAGGAAGCACGTTTTCCCTGCTGAAACTGAACTCCTTTCTGCAGTTTCCTTCAACAGTTTTTTTACAAGTATGGATCTGAACTGCGTTTGCTGCTTTGAACAGACTGGATATGGTCAGACTTGGGAACGAAAGGGGAGTCATAGCCACAAGCCCTGTCAAGATAACATGCTGGATGTACCGTGCTGTGAGTGGTGTCTGCACTGCGGAGATACGGACAAGGGCCCGAACAAAAGTTAGCGAAGTAGCCCTTAGGCTCGTGGACCCATTTCCAGCCAAGGTCCTGTCGGAAGTCGATGTACAGAGGACGCACGCAGCAGTTCTCCTCCAGGTTCCTGAAACACAGTGAATATAAAGAGAGGCCTTATGTGTGAGTGCACGATGCAGCTTCCTGGGCAGAAGGACTGGTCCCAGCAGCACCCAGCGGGATGTGGTGTTTGGCTGCACCAAGCTCAGAGCAGCAGCAGAGATGAGCAGAGGTGGGGAGCTCAGCAGCCTGGCCTTGTCTGTGCCTGCCAGCAGGCAGCTTGCCCACTGACCCAGCGCAGGCAACACCCTGCTCACCCTCAGCAGTGCCCGGCTGCTCTCTGGTACCTGGAGCTACCAGGGGGCTGCCACAGGTAAAGGTGAGGCTGTGCTTCAGGAAGCCACTTGCAAGTCTCCCTCTAACCAGCGGCTCAGCCAGAAGCACACAATGACACTGCTGAACTGGCCAGCGTCCCCTTCTTGGACACCACAAGGAGCAGCTGGCTGAGCTGTGCTCCTCACGTGGCCCCTTGGCACCGTGGTGATCCGCAGCCCCTTTGGAGGGCTCTGCCTTCCCTGGCAGCACGGAGTCTTGCTAGGCTTGGCCCAGCTCAGGCACGGGACCTGGTTACTCCAGGCTGGATTCTCATTTACCGGAAACAGTAGTTGGTATCCAGGGCCCGTTTCTTTCTCTGGCCTCCCAACGTTGGGCTTTCCAGCCGATGTGGGGGTAACATCATCAGGATGAGGTGGGGATTATGCAAGTCCTTCTGCTTCTTCAGGCGCCCCAAGTCCCCACGGCCATAGTCATCCTCACTGTCAATGCCTTCAGAGAAAAACGGGATCCACAAAGAAGAAATCAGTGTGGAAGTGGAGGCTGCAACAAGACTTCTCAGTGCATTTAACACTCTCGTGTCTGCCCCTGAACCAGGGTGAAAGGGATTCAGGTTTACTCTGGGCCTTCTTCCCTAACAGGGACCCCCTTTACTCCTGGTGAATCTGACCGCTGCAGGCCTGAAATAAGAGGCTTATGGGCCACCTGTTTTACCATTTGCAAACTGCTGGTGGGGCCATTAATCCGTCCCACTCACTCCTGGATTCTGTCCCAGGACAGGCAGGAAGATGAATGGTTTAAAGACGATGTCAGATCATTGGCACTCGGCAGAACAGCCTCAGAAATGGAGCCTGTGGGGGCCAGTGGCTGCAGCCCAGGGCTGCAAGCCAGGAGGTTCCTAGTTCTTAGGCCAGCCAAGCCACTGACTCTCTGGGCCACCACACACAGGATGCCTGACTTCCTTGTGTTTCAGTCACCCTAACTGGAAAGCAGAGCCTCCCTGGAAATCTGAGAAGGCATGAAGCTGAACTTCCCAGAGAGACACTGAAATAGAAAATTGCTCCTTTCTGCAGGAGTTTACTCGTGCAAACCCACCCAGCCTGCACTTCCTTTCACCCATTTCTAACCTATGTACAAAGTGGATATACCCATACAATCAACAGGCAAACCCAGATGCATATGCTTTAAGACAAATGTTACACAATGCAAAATGCTCAAATATGCAAAGCAAGACCTTGTTTTTTTCTTTAGATACCCTAGGCTTTCCCTTCCCCAACAGCCTCCCCTAACCCAGCTCTTTATCACCTTTGAACTTGATCTCCAAGACCTCATGCAAATTCTCCAAGATGTCCCCGTTGGGCTGAAAAGTATGGCAAGGACAGTGTATGCTGATTTCCAGGCCAAGGTTGGACTCTGCAAAGAAGGAGATGGCTCTGTGAGAAACAGTTCCTCAGCTCCTGCCATGGGGAGGTTTCGCTGAGGACATGTGCTGTGGTGACTCAGACTGTGGGTCAGTCAGGGATGCTATCAGAGCTGGGGAAGAGCTGCTGCCTTGGAAAGGAGAATGGGAAGGGGAAGCTTGTGGCTTCACCTGTGCTAGAAGCCTTGCTGTTGCTAACGGGAGCTTCGTGGGCAGGTGAGAAGGGTGCTCCTGGTTATGGTTTTTAGGCTATTCAGCATCCAGAAGCGTTTGTGAGCTTCAAGGAGCTCCACGGGAAAACAAGTACTTTGAAGAACTGGCTTGCGGTGTCTGTGTTAAATCAGTTTTGCCATCCTCAGTACCTGTCTACTATCTGGCTTCTGGTTAGTGTCTGAAGGAGGGATCTGAAAATAAGCGAGTTGGATATGGACAAGTAATTTCACTGGAAGCATTTTTCTCAGCAGCTGCAACCTCCTGTTTTGTTGAACTGCTAGTGGTCTAAGTCACACAGACTTTCCAGAGGCAAGTCTATTTTCATAATAACTTCCTGGACCAGTCATGCTGTGTGGGCCTGACTAAGGGAACATAAGACTCTTATGAAAGCTCCTTTTTTATGTTGTGTCATGAATTAAAACATCTGGCTCCCCGGGGCATTGACAAGGTGCCTAGCACCTTTGTTGCTAAGCACTGCATGCTCTGTGATGTCTTGTCAGCCAGAGTGCCTGCCCAGAGCTCGCTCCAGTTCCAGCCCTGAACTCCAGCCATCAGGACACGACTTCGACTGCTTGAAAAAGGAGGAGCCTACAAGCTCACAGCTTATCCTTCCAGGGAGCGGCTGCTTGCCAGTACCTGCATTCCGGTTTTCAGTGGCACCTAGCTTCTATCTGTGAGGCCAATCCAGCTGTGAGTCATGGTGCCTACGCTCCAGCTGTGAATGGGGTCAGTGTTCTTGCTGGGATCTGCCCCATAACTATCTGTGGGGCTGCCCAGTGGTGGCAGAGGTATGTTCTCTGCAGTGCTAAAGCCTCCATCTGTCTAGGTGTGTCAGCCTCTGGTATTTCCTCACCTTTATACCTGCCAAGCTGTAAGAAACCAAGGTCCTCAGTGCTTTTTTCTCTACTAGATTTGCTGTGAATATTAAACCAGAGCAGCATTTCTTTTCTATGTATTACAGACTATAGTTTAGATAAGCAGAGGGGTCCCCTCTGGGCTTAGAATCGAAGAACAAAAATAAGCTCCAGCATCTCTCAGTGAAAACAATTTCCTCCTCCAGAAGCCGAATCCTCGCTGTGACTCAGCCCGCAGAGCTACGCAGCGGGGACTCCAGGACAGCCTCTGGCAAACGTCACGCACTGAGGCAGCTTTCTGGGGGAAGGCTTGTTCTCAGAATGAAAGAGGCTGCCCTCTACGTGAGCCAAGCTGCTGCAAAAGGGGGAGCAGAGAGATACTCCTGTCAACATTGATCACGCTTCTATGGATGCCTTGACACCCAGTCCAGCTAAGAGCCCTACCTCTGTGCAGAAGCCACTCGCGCACGGTCTCGGTGACATCGAAGGACAGCCACTCAGGGGAGCCCCGTGTCTGCACGTTCCTGCCACTGAGGTAGCGCTGCTTTGCGATGTGCTCATCCGGCCGAAGGATCTGCATCAGAAGGAGCGGTAGAGAGAATCAGCCAGTGCTGCGCATAAGGAAGGGATAGCCTTGGGTCTTTTTCCTTCCACAGCTTGCTAAAAACTAATTTGGAAGGTTGCTCCCAGCAAGTGAGACACCAGGAATACCCTGGTACAGGTGACAAGGACATGCTTCACAACCAGCCTGAACTCCAGAGATCTACACAACGCTTACTTCTATGTCCTACGCAGCCGACCTCTCTCAATTCATCCTTGTTTCAGGGCACACAGCAACTGACCCAACGGGGGGTTTTGTTTCTGTATACACCCGTGGGATGTGGGTCTGGATTTCAGCACAGAAGCAGCAGTGGGCAATAGAGCCTTGTGCCAAAGGTCCCTTGCCCGAGCCTATTCAGTCCTATGCTGTGGCATGTCCTGCACTCTCCAACTTCCATCAAAACACACCAGGGCTGAGCAGCTTTGGAGACCTCTCCCCCTGCTCTGACATCTCTTCCTGCTTCCAAACAGCCACAGCCTGTGCAAGGTGTTCCTTCCTGCAGGATCCCAGGTTGGCTCTGCAGAGCACTGAACCTATGGAGAAGCTCTGGGATTGCCTCCTTGTCAGTTGTGTCACCTGGTAGAGAGTTGCTCTGACCTTTCAAGCTGAATTCCAGGAAGTCCTCAAGGGCTACCAGCCACTGGGCAATTTTAGCTGCGCTCTTACTGCAAAGTGGGCAGACAGCAGCCTGTGGGAATGCACTGCCTGGATACAAAACAGTACCATTAGCTGGGTGGTCCAGCCCAGCCTAAGACGACTTCCAAACCTGAACCAGACCTTATTCTGCTGGAGGAGCCCACGGGTTCAAACCAAACTCCAGATAAGCACCTGAATTAGTGGTGCCGTGAATTGTGCTGCTGAAGGGAACACTGAAAGCATTATTTTTCCAGTAAAGCAGTGACAATACAGAGAGCTCCACCCGTTGGATTAACACCAACTGTGCTGCAACAGTCAAAGGCACAAAACTGCCAAGGGACCAAGGCATGCAGATGTGACAGAAGGGTCAGGGCTGCTGCACTGGTCAGGGGCTGCCCTTCCAGCCCCCTTCTCAGCGCAGCAGAGAGCTGCAGTGAGCACCATGCCAGGGTGCCCGGAGCAGCCAGGGCGTGAGTGGGGAAAGGACATCAACCACACTGTGAAAGAAAGGTGACTGTATCACTGTAATGCTGGAAGACACCTGAGGCACAGCACTGGATTTCTTTTCTCTGTCTTTTGTGGCCCTGCACGTATCAATCGAGGCAACCATTAAGGAGCCAAGTTATTTTGGGCTCAGGCACAGGGGAGGGTGAGAAGGATACTCACCTGGAAGAGCTCAATGCGCTGCTCGCTGCGTTTGGAGCTCGGGTTGGGCACACGCAGCACCCGAAACTCGGCGCGGAACAAGTTGGTGCTGTTCTTCTCTGCCGAGGACACATTAAAGCGAAACACGTTGGAGGTGACGCCTTTCGGACAAATGCCCAACTCGTCTAGGAGGAAGCAAGATGGAACGACTGAGAACCGCAGCTCTGAGGAGCGGGATCTCAAATACTGTCTGAGAAAAAGCTTTCCAGCAGAGGTCTGACAGTCAAGCCTTTTGCCACCTGTGAAGCGTGGCTGTCTAGCTAAAGATAACACAGGATGAATTCGCTCCAACTGCGGCTACATCGCAACATTTTGCAAAATCTTCCCACTATTGCCACCATTATTTCAATGCTACAAGCCAGAGAATCAGTAGAGACCAACCTCAGTACTTTAAGTATTATCTCTTCTAACTCTGATCATCAAATGTTGCTAATGCTTACGAGTTGCTGCATCCAAAATGGTAATCCCAGCCAAAGCAATGTGGCAACCTGAGTTGCAGCTACTGCGGCCCCTTCCCAACAGCGATGCTGGTGTGGCTCTGCTCATACTGGAGGCATGAAGACACATAGGAGGTTATTGCATTGCTGTTGAATCTTAGTTTTACAAGCCCTGACACTGTCTCCTGGAATGAAAGCCAGCCAAGTGTCCTCAAAGCATGAGGTATGGATGACTTCTGGGGGCAGTGACTATTCAGTGTGTACCGAAAGAACTGGGTTTTGAGATCAGTTCTCACTCATGGCCTGGAGGAGGAATTCACGAATAGTACTAGATACAGAGTTCTTCGAGTGCAGAGTCATAGTGCTGAGAGGTCTGCGGAGATCACACACGTGGGCAGGAAATAACAACAGCAATTCTCTGCCTCGATGTGCGCCTGCCGAGCAGAGAAATCCATTTCACAGATGCCCCAAAAGAGAGTAGGTAACAGCTTATGAGGTTCAAACCAGAGTCCTCAAGAGAAAACAGGCCTCTCTTCACTGGTCCCATGGAAAAGTCTTTGCCATTGCTGTTGCTCCTCTCCTGTTGACCTCTGTTAGCCTTCAAGGCTCTGGCATCATTAAGCCTTCCTACAGACAAGACACAGCAGCTCCTGCTCTATGCTTACATGCAGCCTTTCATATGACCTCTGACTTGTCCAGTGCAACATGGGGCTCTCATGTCAGCTGCTATTTGTTTTTAAACAAAAAAAAGGAAACAGAAAAACTATCACCCATTCCCAGCCACAGTTGCAGCCTGTGACAAACAGGCCAGAAGCCCTGGCTGGAGCAACCTTCAAGTTGGATTGGTGGAGTCAGCCCCTCTCTTCACAACAGCACCACTACTTCCTCAAAGAAACAGCTTCTCAGTAAGCTGATGACCAGGTGCTCACATCGGGCTTTAATCGGAGGGTTTTTCATCTGTACTGCTGCATGAAACAGCTTTCCCATACAGGAAAGTCTCTGGCTGTGAAGAGGTGGCTGTTCAGCAAGCTCAGGAGACCAGACCCCACTGCAGCCATGAGCTGCTACGCTCAGCCCAACAACCCTGCAGTGCCAAGAGCACACCACTGTTGGGACTCCACCACTGTGACCTGGTCTAGGTTTTATGCCACAGAAAAGCACAGAAGAGACGAGTGCTGATCTCATTAAATGCCCAAAAGCATCTTCCTGGCTGCAGGCTGGCACTGATAACCGTTCTGTGTCCTAGGCCTAGGCAGATCCTGTGTTTTAATACCTCCTTAAGCTGTTTTGCACTCCTAGCCCTATTAATAGTGCTGTTAACAGCCTGCCCTTCCATTTCAGACCTGCCTGCCTGCCCGTGAGGGTGTCCCTTTAATCATCAGAAATGCCTTTCCAGCTCAGACCAGTGCTCAGCCTAGTCCAGTATCTGTTTCCAACAGTAGTGCTTTATCCGACAATGTATTTAATAGAGACTGCAGATCAGGTCCTACAGCACAGTGCAGATGAGAGACAAAATAATTTATTGTTCATCACCTCCTTACGATTTCTGGCTAAGTTAGGCAGCCATGCTGGTGAGATTACTGTATCTACTGCATTTCACCTGCTGTCCTCACATTGCCGTCTACCTTCTTACTTCAGCAGCCATGTGCTGGTGTCCTGGGGGACATTCCTAGTGGAAATATTAACACCTATCTTCCCTAAGAAGAAGTTTCATGTTCCCAGGGTACAAAGGGAACAAGCCCTCTGCGACAGGGAGATGGAGCTGCATTCTGTGTTTCCCTCTGGACACTGTGAAGCTGGAGCCTGCCCAACAGAGCAGGGTGTCCAGGACACAGGGCTCACTCCCAGGAAGCTGACTGCTTTGGGGCAAAGGAGGTGAGGTGATTTTTCAGGGAACCTGGTCCAGTCCCAGCTCAGGTGTGTTATTAACACCGGAAGCCAGGCATGTCCACATACAGCACAGAACAAAGTCTGGAGGCAATATTCCTGCCAGCTCTTCCAGTTCACAACACTCAGCGGCTGTAACCGAGCCTGGAGACAGGGAATCTGTGACAGCCTGTGCCCCCATGCCAGGCTATGTCTGACATAACGGGACGTATCCTCACCATCAAACCCTGCTATTCCTGTGGAGCCCGGACAGCCCAGAGCTGTTGACTGCACAGTGAGACCAGTAACCTCTTAGCAGGGACAATGTGACACAGGGAGCAGGTTCTTTTGGGAGCTGCCCTCTTCCTAGCATCGCTCTCACCGATGTGCAGGTTCTCTACAGGCTGCTGTTTCTTGCAAGCCCCAAGAAGACAGTTAGAGTTTAAAGTCAAGGAAGGGCAGGTGGTCTTTGAAGAGGTATTGCCTCACTCCATATTATATCACTGGTGCTTCAAGGTGTTTCATGCCAAAGCTGCATAACTTTGGATAAAAACCCTCATCTTTCTAGAACTCTGCAGGCAGTGGGTTTGGAGAGAAGAGATGCTTGGACCCAGCGACCCATGGCTTTAATTGCCCTGTGTCTTAACCTGGCTTGGAAAAAAGGTGTCTGTTTTTGCTCAGGAAGGACTGTTGCAGATGCTCTCTGAGCTTGACTTTAACCAAGTCAATGCTTAAGGGTGTCTGAACCCCCATGAGTTTCAGGAGATCCCTGTAGTGAATACCTGGTCAAGAGTGAGTTATTCTCTGAAAGAAAGTCCCTTATAGTTCAGGCAACGTGCCTGAGAGGCACAGCAGAAAAACCATTCCATGAGTCACCAAACAGCTCAGAGTAGGGATGGGGAACCTGGTCCTGAATATCCTTCCTTCCTAGAAAGACGGGGCTCCCCTCACTGCTATGTTTGCTCCTCAGCTGTCCTCACTTTTGGGCCTTAAGTCTCCGAGAAGGATGAGTTCTCTGAGCCAGCGAGACGCCTGACTAACGGTTTGGAGCTCGAACAGTTGGTGTGCGTGTGAGTGTGCGTGCGCACGCGTTTCAGTCGTGTCTGCATCGTCCTCGCAGCTCCCTCAATGGAGCAGTCCTCCCCTTCCCCCCGGAGGAGACGGGCTTTGGCTCGGAGCGTGCTCTGAGATCACCACCTGGCACAGTGACAGAGCCATGGGAAAGTTGAACATCAGCCACTTCTGAAGACACGGGGCCAAATTCAGCCATGGTGTAAGCGATGAAACTCCCCAGGTTTCAAAAGGAGCGCGTCTCTTGACACCACGGCCTCTCTGGAGCCGCTTTCTCCCAGTGTGACCCAGTTCCAGAGTTCCCTCTTTCTCTGGGTGGTGGCATCTGCACTGCCCACTCCCAGGAGTTAAATCTCAGCACCATTTGGTCTTTTGAACCCATTGCTCAGCACCTTGCCCCAGCGTCCTATGGGGACATGGGACAGCCTCATTCATCGCCATAGGAATTTTCCTCAACCCACAGTCCCTTCTCACTGCTTCTCGTGCACCACGTCTTCATTCCTCTTTTCCCTCTACTTTGTCCCAGTCTATTCCTCTGACTTCATTTCCAGCTGTTGTGCTTTCCCAGTTTCCTTCTCCAAAGCACACCAGTTCGTGGTGCAGCTGTATTATTTTGCACAGACACTTGGTTTCCCCGTGTATTTTTAGAATTTCACAAGTGATACTTCAGTAGGTCACAAATGTTGGAATATGGGTATGGTGCTGTGCTGCTACGGGTAACCCTGTGCACTTTCTGTTCCATGAGTCTTGGTGTGTCCCGAGCTGAGAGCTAATCATATAACCATATGGAGCGCAGTCTGCTAGAGATTAAGTGAAATTTGTTGCATTACCACATTGTAGCTCTTATTCCAGCTCATCATATGTCAAGATTAACATAAACCTGGCAGAGTAACTGCATTCTGAGGCTGCCTGCACCAAGTCACAGCTCCTCCCCAGAACTGCTGGCGTTCAGATCGTGTCCCCAAAACTGCACTACATCACAGGAGGACACCCTGGATGGTATGTGACTGCACGCCCACCAACATCTTCAGTCCTGAGGAATCCCAAGCACAGACCAAAAAGACTGTTTGTGCCTACATGTGCTCAGCATCTGCAATCTGCTTGGGGTTCATGTCTGCTCAGTCTCTTTCTCTGCATCTGCATCTGCTCAGCTTCTGCACCTGAATCTGTTTACTGTCCACATCTGGGCCTGTTCATCATCTGCTCCGCACCTGCTCAACATCTGTCACGTTTCCTCAATGCCTGTGTTCCCCTGGGGGTCCCCTTTGCATCAGTCTGTTTTGCACCTGCTCAGCATCCCCGTTATCTTCTACTCGCTCTCTGGTCCCTCACACTATCCCAGTAACACCCTCGGCAGTGTCCTCCAGGCAGCAGTCTCTTCAGCAAGCGCCTCTCCACCTTCTCCACAGCCAGTGCGGGTGCTGCACAGACCGAATCCGTTGCCTGCACCTCTGCGGCAGGCGCCGGAGCTTCAGCAGGGAGGATACCTGCTGTCACCCGAACACGGGACCCGACCCTTCCCCATGCCCAGGGCTCAGCACTCACCCCCCAGACCCAAGCTGCATCC